ACTAGTGCCAGATTCTCCGGCTCCACGTCAAATCTGTTCTCCAGGGCGTTCAACATATCTCTCCAATTTGCGCTGTTAAATTCGTTTTTGACATCTAGCGTGAGGAGAAGACAGACTTTACGATCTTCGAGGCTACCAGGCCATGCTTGTGTTGCTGTTTTTATGACTTTCTTGATTGCTCCGACTGTCGAATGACCTTTCCAGAAGCTATGCTGGTTGGTGGCAAAACCTCCAGCACGGTCTATGTCGTTGCGAAGTCTTCCTTGTATGAGCTTCTCGAGTAGTTTTCCAGCAATGTCCAGCATACAGAGTGGTCTAAACGACGAAGGCGTTATGGGGGTTCCCTTACCTTTGTCTAAGAGAACCAATCTCTGCCGTTTCCAGACCGCGGGAAACGTGCCAGTTGCTAAGCATGCGTTGTAGGTGTTCAGGAGTAAGTCTGGGTATTCCAGGGCTACAATCTTAATCACCGGTGCCGGGATGCCATTTGGTCCAGGTGCCTTTCCTGTTTTGAGTGACTTGGCTGCGTGTTGTAGTTCCTTAGTTGTGAAAGGTGTTACTTCGTTGTTTTTAGTGTAGTGTTTCTTCTCCCGTGGCGGTTGTTTGGGGAAAAGCTCCGCTACAATGCTATCTATTAAGGCTGGAGACTTCGGCGCCTCTGGTAAAGCCTTTCCAATTCGTTTGGCGACAATTTGGTAGGCTTTACCCCAGATGTCATTGTCGAGATTGTTGCAGATCTCTTTCCACAACTTTGCTTTACTTGCTTTGATGGCTCGGTTTAGCGTCTTTTTGGCCTGCTTGTACTCTTTCGAATACAAGTCCTGGCTTGGGGAGCGTTTTGCGGCTCTCGTTGCGCGGCGACGTAGTTGATGGCATATTTTGAGAAGTTCTGCTATGTCTGTTGACCACCAATACGCCGGCCTGTGGAAACTCCGGTTTTTCAATCGCGGCACAGAGGCGTCACATGCGGCAGAAATCTCCTTCATCATATTTAGCACTGTCCTTTCTGTCTCGCTACAAGTATCAGGAGTCGGGTTGTTCTGTAGGGTAGAACAGCTCCGTGCAAGTGAAGCTCGCAGTGCCACTGGATCGAGCTTCCTGACATTCCACTTCCACTTAGAATTGTCGCGTTGTGAAACCGGAGCAAATGCCAATCCAACGCTAAATGTCACGAACTGGTGATCACTGCCACTGTATTCTTCGGATACTGTCCAGTCTTTGATCATGTTGGCAATCCTTGGAGTCGCCAATGAGATGTCGAGGATGGATTCTTGGTACCCTGGTCTTCTAAAGGTCGTGGTGCTTCCAGTGTTCAGCACTATGAGGTCGAGTCTAGCCACGACGTCATCGACCTCGTTTCCTCTGGTGTCGGAGAAAGCAGCGCTCCACTCAGCCATATTTAGCGTTGAAGTCTCTGGCTACGATAACTTCACCGTCGAACTTGGTGACCGCATCTTCTATATTTGCCAGTTTCTGTCGGAACACACTTATCCTTTCGTTAGGTGAGAGATAGACGCTCATGAAGTAGGTTGTGGGGGTTTGAATCCAGACAAATCCTGCTCCACTTCCGCTGTTGTTGACGGTAACGTTCTTTGTGTTCACAATCCAAATTGCTGCCATGCCCGTTTTATCTGCGAACCATGTTTTATCGTCGATGTTTAGATATTGCTCGCAGATAAAGCAGACGTCAATTTTATCTTCAAAAACACGCTGGCGCAGCAGGTTTTGCGCCAAGGCGCACCTATTCAGGTTGCCTTGAAGTATGCGTGTCATTTCTGACCTCTCGTGGCTTCTGCAAGTGCTTTGCGGAATGCCTTGCAAGCTCCAGTGCCAGAAATATGGCACAGACTATCCTGACCATCTTTGTCCGAAGCACAAAGGAAGCATTTCAGCTTCTCCGTGCAGTTTACGGCCTTTTGGTTCTCTCTACCACATTTGTAACAGCACTTGCTTCTGTCTGGTCCCACACACTGACGTGTGTGGTGTCCATAACCAAGACATTTGAAACAACGTGTTACTTTTACTACTGGGCGTATACGACAGTTCACCAAACCGATCCGTATACGGGCCTTGTCAAGGGCCTTAATCGCACTGGGCTTGTCTAGTTCGCAGAAGGCTGCCCGATTACCTCGTGGTGTGGGCTTTGTCAAATTGACCCGTTTGACCTCCAGGCTATCAGTGAATTCACGTTTAAGTGCTTCACGGACTTCGCTCTCGGTAGAGATTTCATCCAGGTCGAGGATCTCGATCGTTGCTGGTGGTGTTAGCGTCCGTGCCGATGTTTGCAGTAGCTGACTTTACTGCATCGGTGAATGCCTTACTGTCCTCGGTCTTTCGAGACATTTTAAGGAGAACGCCTCCATGTTTCGTCTTTTTGATAGACCTTATGTCTACGCCTGTTTTGACAGGGCTTACCTTGGCCTTAATTTCCTTAAGGAGATCGGCGTATGTTCGCCCTTCGGCTGGTTGGACAAGGACAGCTTTTGTTCTTGTCTTCTTTCTCCTTGGTTTCGTAGTGCCAGCCGTACTTGATTGGTTTTGAGTTTCACTAGATTGTGCCGCTGGCTCCTGTTTTGTTTCCTTCCTTTTTTTTTGCCTAGTCACTTTAGTCCAGGTGTCGCCCCGGGCTGGCTTTTTCTGTGCTGGCTTCTTGTTGTCTGAGGAAGGGCTGGGCGTAGACAACGGCCTCTTCTTGTTGTTTTCTTCTCCATGCTGGGATTTCTCAGGGGTGACCAAAAACGAGTGTGATTTTTTGTTCAGACCCGGAGATGTTTGCGTGGTTGTCGCCGACTTCGTTACTGGTTTGTTGGCCAACTTATATGCCGTGCCAATGGACGCTACTATTTTTCTGAGTTCATGATGTACATTTCTTTTATCCTTTATAAACTCAGCCAATTCTCCGATTTTGCTACCGAGCCGTTCCATTGGCGTAAGTTGGCCGGTGACAGTCGGTAGAGAGTTGATCCTCCCTCGGTATGCGTGAGTATTGACGGGAGCAACAGGTCTTCCACTTATTAGAGGAAGGTTTGTTTGCTGTGCGTCCACTTCCATCTGAGCTGTTTCTTTACTTCCTGTAGCATTGCTAATCAGCAGAGCCATGGGGTCCACTCCACTGTTCAAACGGTCGCTTGATAACGACGAGTTCGGGCCCGTTTGTACGCCTTCCCTCGCCGGTACTGAGGTATCCCCCCTCTCCACCGTAGACGATGTTTGAAATTGTTGGGACATTTTCATATCGTTGTTGGTGTTGTTCATTTGGCACTACCCGGAGAGCACGTGTAGGGTGTAAAAGCAGAACCTACGGACGAGAACAACTCTACCCTCCTGTGTGTGTGTGTGTGTGTGTGTGTGTGTGTGTGTGTGTGTGTGTGTGTGCGTGTGTGCGTGCGTGCGTGTGTGCGTGTGTGTGTGTGTGTGCGTGTGTGTGTGTGTGTGTGTGTGTGTGCGTGTGTGTGTGTGTGTGTGTGTTTTTTCCCCTTAGGAGGAGGGAATCTTTTTTACGGATTCTAGGCGTAGTTGTTTGGCCTGGATATGTGGCGACTCGACGCAGTGTCATACTAAAACTCGACGCTAACGCCCCTACCCACTAAACCCTAAACTCCTTTCCTCTTTCTTCTAATCCCTCATGGAAACCACCGTTAGGCATTACTTCGTGGGGGGTGGATTTAGTGACTGCTCTTCCTTCTGGTAACTAAGGTATTATTTTACCTTTCTTCTAGTTGTTGTCATTTGCTCTTTTTCTTTCGATGGAACGCAAGTCTATAAGGACTTCTATTGCAAACGTGTTTGCGGCGTTCCAGGCAGCCTTTGATGACAGCATTGCTTCTACTATTGTCTCTGGTTGGATTTTCTTCTTCAGGATCATCTCCAGCTCATCTCGCTGTGGGTAAAATCGTAGGCACTCAAAGAAAACGTGCTCCGCGTCTTCATTGATTCCTGGGCAGGACGGGCACTCCGGTGAATCATCATGCTTGAAGCGGTGAAGATACGTCCGAAAACATCCATGTCCTGACAACATCTGCGTCAGATAGTAATTGACCTCGCCATGACTCCGGTTTAGCCAAACGTCGATCTTCGGTATGAGACGGTGTGTCCATCTTCCTGTTGTCGTGGCGTCCCACTGCGATTGTGTGTGTGTGTGTGTGTGTGTGTGTGTGTGTGTGTGTGTGTGTGTGTGTGTGTGTGTGTGTGTGTGTGTGTGTGTGTGTGTGTGTGTAAACCTCTTATAACTTCTGTACGGCTTGACCGATTTCATCGCAGTTGGTGTCATTCCAAAGGTCTTCGCCAATCTTAGATTTCCTGTAAGTTGGAACCGATTCGGGCCAGTAGATTTCGAAAAATTGTAAAAAAAGTTAAAAAAAAAGTTTTTTTTCCTATTTTTTTAAAATATCTCCGAATTGGCTGAACCGATCGAACTCAAAAACTAATCAGCTCTTAAACTTGAAAACCCGCATCGATTACTACCGTCAGAATCGGTTGATGCGTTCGTGAGATATCGTTGTCGAAAAAAGTGTTTTTACTAGTGCACATACATACTCGCCGTCAACACTTATTGCTTCTCTCCAACGCTTAGCAATATTTACAATATTTACGTCACTTATCACTTTATTGCCGGAACCCACCGGTTCACCCGCGATTATTCTTTCAATAATTTCAACTAAACACTCAGGTACTTCCATGTACACTTTTTCTTCTAGTTTGCCGTTGAGGTATGCCGTGACGATGTCCATTTGATGGATTTGCAGACCATATTTCACTGCAACCGCTGCTAGAATTCTTATCGATGTCGATCTTACCACTGGTGAGAAAGTCTGAGTAAACCCCCACAGAAAAAGTATATATTCTGGAATATATTCTGAAATATATTCCAGAATATATCCGAGAATATATTCCGAATATACCCCGTTTTGCCCGAGGAATATATTCCGGAATATATGGGCATGCACTCACTTGTATTCCATTTTACTCAAAATTTTTCTCTGGTCTATAGTCTGGTCTGTCGTCGGATCTATAGTCTGATCCATCGTATATATACTGAATAGGTATATTCGGAGTATATTCTGAAATATATTCTAGAATATATTTCAGAATATATTCCAGAATATATACTAGAATATATACTTTTTCCGTGGGGGAAGTCTTCACCTGGTTTTTGGGAGCATCCCTTGGCAACCAATCTGACTTTCTTTCTCTCACGATTACCATCGTACTTGGTGCAGAACACATATCCGCTGCCAATAACTTTTCTATCTGTGGGCCGGTCAGTAATTTCCCACGTTTCGTTTTTAATTTGAGCTAGCATCTCGTCTTCGAGCGCTAACTTCCACTAGTCGACCTCCTTCGTCTTACTCGCTTGGCTCCAAGTGGTGGGGTCTTCTGTCACTGTTAGTTGTACTTCCTCAAATACGTCATCTTCCATTTCTTCATTCTCTAGTTCTTCTCTTGACTCGCTGCTATCTTCTTTCTCGTCTGTATCTTTGTTTGACGTGATGGAGTATACCTTTTTTGGCCTTCCTACCGAACCCGTACGAAGTATCTTCGGGCGTCCCCGGCCTCGTTTCCTCGATATTACAATATTCTCCCACGGGACTGATGCCCTCTCTTTCTCTGTCGCCTTATACTCTCACTCGGTGGCTCTATGTCTTCGGGGGCTTCTACCACAACTTCAATTTTCCTCTCCTCCTCTACTTCCTCCTATATCTCTTGATAGTGACTTTTGAATCCAATTCCTCCGACGAACTTTACGTCTCTTGATACGATTGTTGACCTTGATTGAGGGAAGTATATTCTATATGCTTTTAACTCTTGTGCATAGCCCAAAAATACTCCCTGTCGTGACCTTGACTCAAATTTTCCGCGCGTTTAAGTTTTGTCTAGCACATATGCTCTTGTTCCGAATATTTGCATGTGTCTTACCGTGGGTATTTTACCCGACCATTCTGTGTATGGTATTCCACCATTTATTGCGTTTGTAGGACATCTGTTTCGGGTGTAATTAGCATTATTTATCGCTTCTGCCCATAGATGCGGAGGTGCTTCAGCTTGGCGCATCATACATCGTGCAATTTCTACTAGTGTGCGGTTCTTACGTTCTGCGACACCGTTTTGTTGTGGCGTATGGGGTGCCGACAGCCTTCTTACAATCCCATGTTCCTTAAGATATGTATCAAACTCACGATTACAGAATTCAGTCCCGTCGTCTGATTGGAGAGCTTTAATTTGATAACCTGTCTGTTTTTCTGCCATCATTTCATATTTCTTGAATTTCGATAGCACTTCGGACTTGTTTTTGATGAAGTAGACCTCACACCATCTTGACTTGTCGTCAATAAATGTAACAAAATATTTCTTTCCTGAGGCTGACGCGTGCCTCGTCGGTCCACACACATCAGAGTGAATTAGTTCTAACAAATCTTTCACGCACTCTTTCTCCTTCGGGAAGGGTAATCTAGTCTGTTTTTCGAGCACACATATTTCGCATTCTGACAGATTTTCGCCACCTTTTATTTCCAGACCGTACACAAGTCCTTTCACTGCCATTGACCTTAAATCACGCTCATTTAAGTTTCCTAGCTTTTCATGCAACTTATTAATGTTTGATTTTTCACTGCACGTCATTGCACTGTTCACTTTAATAAGTTGCATGAAAATAATACCTGCAATAGTAATTAATATTTGACAATAATAATTATAAATAACGCAGAACAATAACTGCTTTGATGACTAACATTATTCGTAAATCAAACTAAAAATAATAATTGCAATAATGAACTATCGCAGGTATTGATTTCCAGCGCAAATCATATTTAATATTATTAAATTTTAATCATTATTATAATTATTGATTTGATTGCGGTTATTGTTATTCTCGAACGCAATATTATAAGTTAAGTTGAAGAAAAAGTTATATATGTCGGAAAAGCATTAATAGGGGCGTTAGTACAGTCCGTTGGATTCGTTTATTCAGTTATTTATTAATTTAGAATAATTAAACTATAACACTGATCTAAATTTTGAAATATAATGTACGCTAACTTGTATAAACAATACTACGATTAATTATCCAAATATAATTAATATACAAGGTAAAAGCGCTGAGGAATAAGACCGAGAACGAATCTGAGGTCAGCAGGATATATGCGATCTTTACTTGATCAATGCTCAACGAGAATTAACTGTATGGAATGTAAAAGAAAATGTTTTACATTTATAGATAAATTGACAGGTTAGAAATTTTTGTAATTTATAAGATTAGGTTAGCAAAAACTAAAATATGTAACGAGAAGAAAGAGGTGAAATGTACGTAAGTAATCTAGTACTGATCATTCCTTTTGTTTACTCTAATACCCCACTCCTTTCAGCGCAACAATCAGACTTTGGCTTGACCTTGATTGAGCTTACTTAATTTACCGCTTAATTATAGCGCTTTCTTTAATCTCTACCACTCAACACTGGCGTCGCGGGGGTACTAAACAAAGCTTTGTGTACACTAACCTCATAGCGTCGATTATTTGTAGTCAACTTTGCATTACGTATTTTAGTTCAACATTATCATTATTAACAATGTCTGAACAAATTGGTGAAAAAATCTACAATTATTTAATCGGATTTGAAATAAAGACAATTAATAAAAATAAATTACCCTTATATCGCGACGTATTGAGCTTGTTTATGTACAAACATCATTCTTTGAAACAAACTATTCGAAATAGTTCATCAGATGTTCTTAGTGAGGTTAATGCTGTTTGGGCTGGCTTTTTGATTCCGACTATTCGTCCTCAGCACAGTAAGAAAAAGCTAGAAAAGCTTTATTCCGAGTATATAATCATTAAAAAACATCGACACAGAGCAAAAAAATCAAAAGCTGAACAAGCCAATGTCAAAAAGTTTTGCGAAAAACTTGATAAATTGTTTGATATTTCTAATTGTGCTGCCGTGAAAAACTTGCCAGAAGGAGTTAGAAACTTTTTATTCGAGAGTCAAGGTAAGAATTGTAATAAACGTTTACCAGTAGCCTATGCTTCACCAGAAATGATTTCTGATAATCAGTCAGCTATGGAACAAGATGTAGTTGATGAAGATAACGTCAACATTGAGATAGAAACAGGTTAGTTTTTCAATATCAACTTGGGGTTTTCTGATTAATAAAAAAATTATAAATACTTCAAAAAATTGGTAATTGTTCAGAATCGCGGTTCTGCATATTTTTAAATACTCGATTTTTGATGAAATTTAAGAAAAAAATTAAATATCGGTCAAAGATAATTGATTTCATGTTCAAAAAACGGTGGGGTCGTGATTTTAAACAATTGCCAAAATATTTTTCATTTTTAAAGATCTTTTCTTACTTGTTTCTAACTATTATGTTTAACAATTAAGTTCTAAAAATTTTCCATTTCAGGTTTCAAACTATCTCAACAAACAGTCTTGACCAGTTTTTCCAGTAACGTATCCAGTTCTAGTGAATTAAAACGAACTTGCTCTGATTTTGAATATGAAATTCCTGCTCCGAAAATGAAAAAGCTTAACATTTTGACTTCTGAACTCGTATCAGCGCTTGATCGCACTCAAACCAGCGATAGAAACGCGATGTTTATTATAGCAGCTGTTATTAAAAGTCTGGGTCTCGATGTCGAGAAATATAATTTAAGTTACTCCTCAATTCGTAATGCGCGCATTTTAAAACGTGAAGAAATTGTTGATACCATAAAGAAGAAGAAAGAAGATGACGAATCTCTTGTAGTTCACTGGGATGGTAAGAAACTTCCTACAGGACATGGCACATTGAAAGCAGAACGACTGGCAATACATATTTCTGGAACACATACTTCAAGAATTCTAGAAGCTCCGTTTCTTTCTGATGGCACTGGATCGAGTCAAGCTTCAGCCATATTCAACACATTAACTGAATGGGATCTTTGTGATCAAATCAAAGCGATGTGTTTCGATACAACTAATTCAAATACTGGTAAATTTTTATTTTGTCTAAGTAATTTTATTGATTAATGTTTTTGTAATTTTTTTAACCCGAAAATATAGTTTTAACCATTGTAAAAAGCTTTTTTCTACTTTGCGTTTTTTATTCTAATAAACAAATTATGCTCCAATTTCAAAAAGCTAATAGCTGAGTCAAGTCTTCCAAAATGATTTACAAATATTTGCTAAGTTTTTTTTTGTTTATGTAATGTTTCAAATGTGTCCGGCAAATTAAAGCAACAAAGATTTTTAATAACAAAAACTTTTATGAATAAACAATTTGACAAATTCAATTTTAGATTTCGTTGTTTAATTTAAATTTAATAATAAAAATAAACTTTTCAGGTGATGTAAATGGCGCTTGTGCTATATTTGAAAAAATGATTGGTCGTGATTTGTTGTATCTAGCTTGTCGCCATCATACATCGGAATTAATGTTGAAAAATGTGGCAGAAGTAGCTTGGCCAGTTACGAATGGTCCATCTGTACCAATTTTCAAAAGATTTCGAGATCATTGGACAAAAATTGATACATCATTGTACGAAATTGGCATCAATGACGAACTTATAGCAGATATTTTAAACGATAAAAAACAAGATATACTGGATTTCATTGAAGATCAGTTAAAGGTTTGCTTATAAGTACTTTCATACTTTCGATTCCATTTATTCAATACCTTAAGACAGGGATAATTTTACGGTTTTTCAAATGATCAATTTATTTACTCTGTATTAATTTTAAATTATTTATTCTTTTATCTAATTAGAATCATCATCCTCGAGATGACTACAAAGAGTTTTTGATGCTGAGTCGTATATTTTTGGGTGGTGGAGAAAGTCATGAAGTTAAATTTACGGCTCCTGGTGCTTGTCATCATGCAAGATGGCTTTCAAAAGCTCTCTACTGTTTAAAAATTTATATTTTTCGCAAACAATTCAAAATTTCAATCAACGAAGTGAATGATTTACGTAAGATATGTGTTTTTATAGTATTATTCTATGTTAAAATCTGGTTCGAAGCTCCGAATGCGATAAAAGCACCCAATTCAGATTTGGAATTAGTGAAAAATCTCATTCAATATAGAGACATTCATCCTGATGTAGCAAATGCAGCATTGGATAAATTATGCAGGCATTTGTGGTATTTACATGAGCAGCTTGTTGGATTGGCTCTTTTCGATAAAACAGTTTCACGAGAAGAAAAATTAAAAATTGTAGAGAAAATTAATAGCACAATAGTCGTTGAAAAAGCTAGAAAACGTTACACAATGGCCTATAGTGCAATAACTTCAATGGTAGATAAAAACATTAGTGATTTTGTGACCAAAAATTCATTATTTATCTTTGAACAATTTGATCTTCCTTATGGATTTTTAAATTCAGAACCAAATACATGGGAAACTAATTACGAGTATCAACAGTGTCTTAAAACATTTTGCAACTTGAAGGTAGTGAATGATATTGCCGAGCGAGGAGTAGCACTAGCTGAAAAATTCAATCAAGGTTTGACCAATAATGAAGAGGAGAGGCAAAAAATTTTTCAGACTGTCCAAAACCATCGCTTAGAGCACCCTTCATCCGACATGTCTTCGGAAGGTTCTGGGTTCGAATCCCAGTCCGAGCTATCTAATAATTTTTTTTTCTCGCATATTCTATAAACTCACATTAAGATGATCCTCTCCACAATCCGTTCTCAATCCTTTCCTACCAATTATCCTGTTACGTGAATGTTGGAACGCTTCACGTAATAATTATCCGTAACTCCTATTCTTTCCCGCTTCACAGCATTTTTAACAAATATAAAGATGAAGAGGACAGATGCGCTGGCACATCTGGAGAAGCTAGTCAGTGGACTGCAGAATTTTCTCCAAACCAAGCAAAATGTCCACAAGGAGATCAAGTCGAAGTCGACGAACATCTGCAGTGCCCTGAGACGGTTTAAAAAACTGGATCAAGATTGGCAGGGGATCCAACAACAACACGGTAATATCGGGATGAGGACGAGTATGACAGCGGTTTCACCTGCAAAAGCTGACACGTTTGCCGAGGAGATGGACACCAGAGTCGAAGGTGACGGTGAATCAGTCGCCGAAGACAAGGGTGAAACTGACTCAAGGCCTGGCAAGAGAAAAGACCGAAACTCGCCAGAGCCGACCGACAAAGTCACTAATAAGAAGGATCTGAAAAAAAGTCATCTCCAACAACTGGCAGGACAGGGCGACGAACCCAAGAAGACGAGTGACTGGGAAAAAGTACAGTTTAAGAAGGAGAAGAGAAGGCTAGCTAGAGAGCAACTCTCAAAGCAGCCGCCAAAGGAGCCCAGGCCAGAGCCTAAGCGGAAAAAACCGCGCAAATGGATCAGACCCGACGCACTGATCATCCGCCCGGCCGAGAAAACAAAGTATGCCGAGATTCTGCGTCGCATAAAGCAGGACGTCCCAGATGAGCAGGTTCGTTCAACTGTGGATAAGATCAACAAGACCAGAAGTGGGGACTTGTTGATTACGATTTCGAAGAAGAGCACTGACAAAGGCCAGGGTCTGCAAAAGACGATCGCGGACATCCTTAAGGAGGAGGCCAAAGTGATTTGCAAAGGGCCACAGGAGACTATCGAGATCCGAGATATCGATGATGACACGACGAAAGAGCATATTCAGACCGCTCTAAAGAGGGAAGCTGGAGAAAGTTGTGAAATCCCACTAGAGGCAATCAAGATCCGTAAAGCCTTTAGGGGTACACAGACAGCCACAGTGTCACTACCAGCAGCTGCAGCACAAAAGTTACTGGAGGGAAACTGCAAAATAAGGATAGGCTGGTCGAATTGCCGAATGAGAGCAACGAAGAGACCCATACAATGCTTCAAATGCTGGCACTTTGAGCACATCGGATCCCAGTGCAAAAGCGAAGTCAACCGGTCTCAGCACTGCATAAGGTGCGGAAAAGAAGGACACAAAATTGCTGATTGTAAAAATCCAGCTGAATGTGCACTGTGCGTTAAACAGCACGGCGTAGAAAAGGCGACTCACCACGCAGGCTCGAATAGATGCCCCGTCTTCCAAGAAGCGCTCCAGAAGATAACGAAGCCAAGAACATGAAGATATTGCAGCTCAATCTCAATCATTGTGAGGCTGCGCATGACCTGCTCATGCAAACTGTGCGCGAATTAGAGGCAGACGTAGCACTTATAAGTGAGCCTTATAGACACTTGAGTAATCAACCCTGGGAATCCGACAGCACTAACAAAGCCGTCATCTGGTCCTGCGGTAAATGTCCTTTTCAGAGAACAGCCAACAACAAAGAAGCCGGCTTCGTAGCAGCATGGGTAGATGGCCTCCGCTTCTACAGCTGCTATGCACCACCTAGTCTCTCTAATGAACAGTTTGAAGACTTCCTTGATTGGCTAACTGAGGACGCAAGAAAACACTTTCCTGTGGCAATAGCTGGTGACTTCAATTCCTGGGCAGCAGACTGGGGCAGCAAGTTCACTCATACACTTGGAAAAGCACTTCTCGAGGCAATGGCCACACTGGACGTGATCCTTCTTGACACCGGTGACACGCCAACGTATACCAAGGGAGAGGCAAGCTCAATTGTCGACCTCACATTTGTCAGCAGTTGCTTAGCCCGAAGAGGTTTTTCTTGGAAAGTATTGAACATCTAAACAGCCAGTGACCATAGTGCGATACTGTGGGAAATATCAACTGGCCAGAAACTAACAAGAGATAACAGGAGCGCTAGCGCGGTTGAGTGAAAAGTTAAATCTCTCGACCCTACAGCTTTAGTAGTAGCCTTAGACTGCGATCCGATCATGGTAGAAACTGCTGAAGAGAAGACCAAGGACCTAATGAGAAGAGTCACCCAGGCTTGCGACCCTAGTATGTCTCGGAAACGTGGCATGAACTCAAGATCTTCGGTGCACTGGTGGAATGATCACATTAGCACTCTACGCTCAGAGTGTCTTAAAAAAAGAAGAAAGTCTCAGCGTGGCTATCGATGACCTAATTCTGCAGAGCTGGTCGCGGAATACAAAAAAGCCCGTCGATCATTGAACAAAGCCATCAAGGATAGTAAGAGACAATGCTGGAAAGAGCTCATCAACGAAGTGGATAAAGACGTGTGGAATAGGCCTTATAAGGTGGTTATGACCCACCTGAAAAAACAACAAATGCCATCACCTACGTGTCACCAACTTCTTCAGAAAATCGTCACTGCACTGTTTCCACAGCAAGGCAACTTTGATTACCAGTTGACGCCAGGCGAATTGGACGACATCCCACCTGTCACTGAAGAAGAATTGCTGGAGGCTTGTAACCGTGTAGGGAATAATAAAGTACCGGGATTGGACGAAATTCCTAATTGAGCCTTAAAAACCATCATAAAGGCAGCTCCAACATTATTCCTAGACGCTTATAATGCATGCTTCAAGGAGGGGACTTTTCCTCGTAAGTGGAAACAGCAACGATTGGTACTGTTACCTAAAGGGAAGAAGCCACCAGAAGAACCGTCATCTTACCGACCACTTTGCATGCTAGATACGGCGGGTACGATATTTGAGCGCATAATTCATCAACGAATAAATGCAGTAGTCGACCCACTCCTGGCAGACAATCAGTATGGATTCCGGAAAGGACGATCAACCTTGGACACAATCAAACTGGTTGTTGATACGGCCAAGAAAGCAATCGCAGGAACCAGATGGAAAGGTGGAACGAAAGAGTATTGCCTGGTGGCGACCCTAGACATCAGAAACGCATTCAACTCCGCCAATTGGGAATGCATCATGCAGGCCCTCCAAGAGAAGAATGTACCAGAATACCTTCTTAAGATCGTAACAAGCTACTTTGAAAATAGGGTCTTGAAGTATGACACGAAGAACGGTCCGAGGGAGTATGATATTACTGAAGGTGTACCACAAGGTTGAGTTCTAGACCCGCTCCTATGGAATATTATGTATGACGGTCTATTAAGACTAACTCTGCCAAGAAACGTCAAACTTGTAGCGTATGCGGACGACGTGGCTGTAGTGATTGTCGCTAAACACCTGGACGAGATTCACCAAATGTTTGATCTAGCATTCCACCAAATTAACCAGTGGATGGACACAATGAATCTTCAACTGGCGAAACATAAGACTGAGGCAGTGCTTATTACCAGCAGAAAAGCGTAAGAGACCATCAAGCTTAAAGTCGGCGAACAAGAAATCACATCACAACCTTATATCCGATATTTAGGAGTGATGCTTGATGCCCGACTCAATTTCAAGCAGCAAGTGGAGCATGTCAGTGCCGAAGCATCAGTAGTGAGGGCTAGTCTAGCACGATTGATGCCTAACGTCGGAGGGCCAAAGCAGAGTAGGAGACTATTGTTGGCAACTGTAGTCACATCAGTGCTTACGTACGGAATATCCATATGGGCTGATGCGCTAGAATTACAAGAAGCATGGAGAAAGGCTGGGCCAGTATACCGTCTGAGTGCCCTCAGAGTAGCTTGCGCCTTCCGCACAATATCTGAGGAAGCAGTGTGCGTCATTTCTGGAACTCTACCTCTCAGAGTCCTAGCTGAAGAAAGACGGAACCTTTACCAACGAAAGAGGTCAACAACACTGAGTGCAGAAGAACTCAGAACGGAACAAAGACAGCACAGCATCGCACGATGGCAATCTCAGTGGGGTGCCGCAGAGAAGGGTAGATGGACGCATCGTCGCATACCAAAGATCGACATTTGGCTGAACCGGAATCACGGTGAGGTCAACTACGACCTAACACAGATGTTGTCAGGACATGGCTGCTTTCGGGCTTATCGTCACCGCTTTAGGCATGACGACTCTCCGGAGTGCCCGTCCTGCCCTAGAGCCACTGAAGATGTAGAGCACGTTTTTTTCGAGTGCTCGCGTTTCAATCAACAACGTGAGGAGCTGCAGAAGATCCTGAAGAAGACAATTCAACCAGAGTCAATTGTAGAAGCAATGCTGTCTTCAGAAGCTGCCTGGAATGCAACGAACACTTTTGCCACAGAAGTGCTTACAGAGCTGCGTTCCATCGAGAGAAAAAGAGCAAACGACAGAAACTAGAAGGAAGAAAACATCTTAGCCACCAGAAGGAAGAGCGGCAGCTAATTCCTCCCCCCGCGAAGAAATGCCTTACGGCGGTACCATGGGGGATCAGAGGATAGAAGAGAAAGGGGTTTAGGGTTTAGTGGGTAGGGGCGTCAGCGTCAAGTTTTAGTATGACGTTGCGTCGAGTCGCCACATATCTGGGCCAACATCTACGCCTAGAATCCGTAAAAAGGATTCCCCCCCCCTAAAAAAAAAAAAAAAAAAAAACCCAAAACACACACACACACACACACCTGCGGCAGAGGAGAAACTGCTACCAGACGCGTCTCCCCATAGCGGATGGGTTGACACTCGCTGTCCTTGGATGACACTTGGATAATCTCCTAGTTGATGAGGTACAGAGGGTAGGAGTTAAATAAAATACGCTCCCGTGGACAAAACTCCCCTTTAATGGGTTGGTCACACGAACTGACCTAATAAGACGAGGGTAGCGTTGTTCGCGTCCGTAGGTACTGCTTTAACACCCTACACGTGCTCTCCGGGTAGTGCTTAATGAGCAACACTCGGAGCTGAAGAGTAACAGCCACCGTCCGTGTATCCTTG